GGCGTCCTAAAGTGCTGGGATTACAGGCATGAGCCACCGTGCCCGGCTGAAAGTTTTTAATTAAAAAATTAAATTTGTAAAAGCCAAAAAGATGTTTTGAAAGTAGCTGAAGGTGGAGATGGTAAACATTGATACTAACCTAACTATTTATTTTTCTAAGGAAAAATGAAAGTCGCTCCTTTATTTCTTGCAAGAAAAGCACAAAAAGCAGCCGATCCTGTCCCTAGTTTTGATGAAAGCAGGTAAGACCAATTCAGATTTTTAAATGCCAAAATATTTTTATGGAATGTATTTGTATTGATTTGCTTACTGTGATGAGAAAGCATGTGAATTATCATTTGAAGCTCTAGTAAGTCCATTTTAAAAGATGACAATATTGAGTTTGGGACAAAAAACTAAAAAAAAAGAAGAAAAAAACTTAAAAAAAAAGAAGAAAAAAAAATAAATAAAAGATGACAATATTGACAATGTTGCAACTGCTATTTGAATATCTTGGTATTTTGCAAATGCTTTGCCCATCGCTAGATAAAACAGAATAATAAACAAGCAAACCAAAAATACAAAAAGCTGATTATGAATTTTATTCAGTAAATATGTAATACCTACTAGTATGCACCAGGCACTGTTTCTGGTATCAGAGATATTATGGGGTAAGACAGGACACATTTCCTGTCCTCCTAAGGCTTAAGTGGAGATGGGAGACAGTCTATGATTAAACATTCATTAGGCCAACAAATGAAAAATTGCAGTTGGGCTAAAGAGAGGTAAATTCATATTGAGAAGGTTTGCTCTGATTAAAGAAGGCGTCACTGGGGAAATGACATCTTAACTGAAATCTGAACGATGGGCAGGAGTTCACTGGGGAAGGAACTGTGTTTCAGCCAGAGAGAACAGTCTGTGTAAAGTCCCTGTAACTGGAAGGAGCTGATTGAATGCTCATGTTCCTGGAGCACAGAGAGCAAGTGTGAGAGGTGGGCGCCAGCCAACATAGGACCTAGGAGGCCATTTTAAGGGATTTTATCATTATGCTAAGAGCAAATAAGAAGCAGCCAAAGGGTTTTAAATGTAAATATGAACATAAACAGAGTTGGATTTTAGAAGTTTAATCTGCCTGCTGGATAATAAAGAATGGCATGGAAGAGGAGTTAGAGTGGATGTAAGAGTCCAGGTGTTATGAGATGATGGGGGTGAGGACTAGGTTGCTGAGGATGACATACGAAAAAATTCTGGGAGATGAATTAAAAATCTCTTGATGATTAATTACATTTGTGGGGTGAGGGTGTGGGTGAGGAAGATATAGTATGACATGTAAGTTCTAGTTTATGCACCTGGATGGCATGATGGAAGAAGATCAGGTCCAGGCGCATCGTGGGTTCAGATTATCTTTTCTTTCTGTTTCAGTTTTTTTGAGGTATAATTATATATTGTTAAGCACACACAACTTAAGTATGCAGTTTTGACAAGTGCATCTTATCAAGAAATAAAATCTTTCTTTTAGCTCAGGAAGGTTTTGTGTCCTCTTTTCCTATTATCCCCACCAACACTATCATGACAAGATTACCAAAATTTTCTGATTTCTATTTCCATCAGTTAGTTTGATTTCTGTTACCATAGATTAATTTTGTCTATTCTGGAACATCACATAAACTTCATATCTGTATTATTTTGTGTCTGGCTGCTTTTGCATAGTATATATACCCACAAACACATATACATGTAATTTTTTTTCTTTAAGGCGGAGTCTTGCTCTGTCGCCAGGCTGGAGGTTGGTGGTACAATTACAGTTCACTGCAGCTGTGACCTCCTAGGCTCAGGTGATCCTCCCTCACACCTCAGCCTCCCAAGTAGCTGGCACTACAGGCACGTGCCACCATGCCCAGCTAATTTTTTGTACTTTTTTTCCTTTGGTAGAGACAGGGTTTGCCATATTGCCCAGGCTGGTCTTGAATTTTGGACTCAGGTGATTCACCTACCTTGGCCTCCCAAAATGTTGGGATTACAGGTGTGAGCCATGATGCATGGTCAACTCTATTAGTTCAAAGTGTATATTTTGGTGAGCTTTGTCAGTTATACACACAGTGAAACCACCACAAACAAGATACCAAATTATTTCTACTACTTGCCTGAGACGTGTCATGCTCTTTTACAGACCGTTCTCTAAGTGGCCCCAAGCCAGCCAAATGCCAGTCTCTTTTCTGTATACTAATTTATATTTTCTAGAATTTTATGTTAATGAAATCATATAGTACGTGCTCTTTTGTGTCTGGCATCTTGCAGTTGGCATCATGATTTTGAGATTTATTCATGTTGTCAAATACATCATTAGTTTTCCTTCTCTTCTCTTCCTCTTCCTCTTCCCGTTTCTCTTCTCTTCCTCTTTCTCTTTCTCTTTTCTTTTCTTTCTTTTCGTGACAGGTTCTCACTCTCTTGCCCAAGCTGGAGTACAGTGGCATGATCTCAGCTCACTGCAACCTCTGTCTCCCAGGTTCAGGTGATTCTTGTGCCTCAGCCTCCTGAGTAGCTGGGATTACAGGCATCTGCCACCATGCTTGGCTAATTTTTGTATTTTTAGTAGAGACAGGATTTCACCACATTGGCCAGGCTGGTCTTGAACTCCTGACTTCCAGTGATCTGCCAGCCTAAGCCTCCCAAAGTGCTGGGATTACAGGCATGAGCCGTTGCGTCTGGCCATATGTTTGCTGAGTAGTATTCATTGTATGGATATACCACTTTTTGTCTCTCCATATACCTATTAATGGACATCTGGGTTGTTTCCTTTTGTCTTTTCCCTCTGCTTTAAGAGATAGAGACTTGAATGGGCACATTGGCTCACACCTGTAATCCTAGCACCTTGGGAGGCCAAGGTGGGCGGATCATGAGGTCAGGAGTTCGAGACCATCCTGCCAATATGGTGAAACCTCATCTCTGTTAAAAATAACAAAAATTAGCTGGGTATGGTGGCGGGCACCTGTAATCCCAGCTACTTGGGAGGCTGAGGCAGGAGAATTGCTTGAGCCTGGGAGGTGGAGGTTGAGTGAGCCGAAACCGTGCCATTGCACTCCATCCTGGGCGACAGAGGAAGACTCTGTCTCAAAAAAAGAAAAGGAAAGAGAGATGGAGTCTTGCTTTGTTGCTCAGCCTGGTCTTGAATTCCTGGGCTCAAGCAATCTTCCTTCCTCAGGCTTCAGAGCAGCTGGGACTCAGGCGTGCACCACTGCACCCAGGCATTTCCAGTTTTAAGCTATGGGGAATAAAGCTGCTATGAACACTCACGTATAAGTCTTTGTGTGGATACACATCTTCATTTCTCTTTTTAATTTTATCTATTTGAATAGCTATGTAGTCATATTTCATAGTTTAAATTTACATTTTTCTTGTGTCTCCTGATGGTGAGCATCTGTCGTGGTTATTGGCTTTTGCATATCTTCCTTAGGGAAATATTTTGCCCATTTTCTTATTGACTTGTCTTTCATCTTGTTGAGTTGTAAGGGTTCTTTATATATTCTGACTACATGTCCTCTGTCAGATATATGGT